TTGGACGACTCCGACTACGTACGACTCCGACGACGACAATTGCGACCCCGCCTCCGACGACGACGACGACTATGTAGTCCGACCGCGTACGACGATGGCGATGGCGACGACTCCGGTGACTCCGAATCCATCGACGACTACTCCGACTACTCCGAATCCGACGACGACGCTTGCTGACGACGACTCCGACTCCGACGACGACGACAACAATGACGCTTACGACGATGACGACGACTTTGACAACGACGTCAACGACTTCGTCGGCAACACGCTGACTCCGACAACGACGACGACGAGGACGACGGCGGCAACGACGACTCCGACGACGAAGCTTTATGCAGGAGGCTCGTATGCGGACACCCCACCGTCACCGGCGCCATCATCATCCTCCATCATCGTCATCATCGTCACCACCACCATCGCCGTCACTATCATCATCATCATCATCACCACCATCATCATCATCGTCATCATCATCATCGTCATCATCATCACATCAGCATCACCAGCAGCAGCATCATCATCAGGAGGGTAAGGATGGAGGGAGGGGGGTAAGGAAGAAGGGAGGGGGAGAGGTATGGAGGGAGGCAGGGGGGGCAAGCAGAAAGCTGGCCGGCACGGCCCGACGGGCCAGGCCGATTGCTCTTCGCATTGTCCCCTCTTGCCCCCCCCCTTCATCGCGCGGCGCGAAAGGAAGTGCTTGTGTGAACCCATGAGGAGGGGGCGAAGGACGGGAGGGTGTATAGTAGCATCGTTGATGTAGCCTGGGTTCCCTCTGGCAATAAGAAACCCAAGCGGGGGGGATAGGGTTGATCCGGAACCGGCCTCCCTGCCCCTGCACCACATGAATTGCACCACATGGATTGCACCACCGAAGGACGTCGAGGAGGAGGAGGGGGCGACATTGCGGCGCGAGGAAAGTTGGAGGACGATGCGAGGACAAAGAGGGGGCGAGACACAATATGATGAGGACATGATGGATGGGAAGAGATAGGCGGCGATGACAGGAATTTGCGGTGTGCTTTTCAAGGTTGCATGGGCGTCCGTAGATTTGTCGGCGCCTTCGGGACAGCGGCCCAGGGAACCTGGCTCACGGCGGCGCCCGCTCATTCGCGTTCGCCGCCCCCGAGCCCGCCAAAATTTGAAGAATCGCATTTCAAAAACTGTGAGCGTCAGGCAGCGGCGCGCGAACCGCAGCGCGCGAGCCGCCATGCATGTCCGCCAGCTTGGAATAGCGCACATGCGAGGTCGCCGCGCGGCTGGCATCTGGGACATGCCTGAGCTCATGTGCAAAACGCTGGCTGGAAAATATCGGAATAACCTCACTGCTCCCATGGTTCAATGTCAGAGGGGGGCCCGGTCGACCGAAACCTCGTCACCTACCAAAGCCCGACGGGTGCCTGCGCGCCGCCTCGTCTCCAGCATTCACGTCGGCATCGCCGGCCTCCTCGCCCTCGTCCTCGGCTTCGGTTGAGGCCGCGCGCGCGTCGTCTTCGGCGCCTTCGGCAATGCCCTCAAGGCCCAGCCCGCCCGCAGCTGCTGGCGCCAGCGCAGCGTGCTCCACCGCCGGGGCCGCGGCGCCGTCGACCGGGGCCTCCTCGCGCGCGGAGACGAGGCCCAACTTGCCCGCCAGGTGCCCCGCGTCGACCTCGGAGGCCGGCGAGCGCTGGCCCCAGTCAACGACCGGGGCGCGCGGCGGGGGGTGCTCCTCAGCGTCAATAGAGGCGACGTATGCGGCCAGAGTCGGCGTCGTCTCTTCGGAGATCCCCAGCTCCGCGAGCACGGCGACCAGGTCTGGCCGGGTCGTCTTCCGCTTGACGAAGAAGCATGCTGCCCAGAGGTCTGCCCTGGGATGGCGACCGTCGTCACGGTCACCCCAAGGCCCAGCGCCTGGAGCACCTTCGCCGCAATGAAGAGGAGAATCGTGTGCTCGTAGAAAAAGGTACCCATTGGTCACGGGGCGGATAGATGAGCAGGAAGATTGGCACGCAGTGCCTGACTGGCGGGTCGGGCGGGCGGCCCCACCGGGCGGGTCGAACAGGCGGACCCTGAGGGATGGGTCGGGTGGACGGGCGGACCCACCGGACGGGGCATGAAAGCGGGCGGGCGGCCTTCTGGGCAAAAGAACGGAAGAGGGGGGGGGGCAGGAGGAGGTCGGTCGGGCGGACCTTCACGCGCGGGCCGGACGGGCCGAGCACACTTGCCGGGCGGACCCCGACGGGCGTGTCGGGCGGGACACGAGAGTGAACGGTCGGAACCCATCGACGGCAAGGGCAGGCGGGCCCACGTGCGCGGGTCGGGCGGGACACTGAAGCATTGCCAGCTAAAAGGGTCCCATTTGAGATCACGAATCCATAATATGATGAGGCGCGAGGCACCTAGGAACGGTGTAGGACCGTGCGACCCCCTCCCTCTGACATGATACCTCTCCGACGACACGTCATCGATCAGCGCGCAATCACTGACGCCACAGCTAACTACGCACCCCAGCTGTACAAGAAGCCCCGTGCAAACCCTCCCGAGCAAAATACCAAATCTCACCAGCCCTTTGGGGCTTGAGTGGTTTAGAGCGTCTCCTCTTTGGGGAGGGATTTACCCCTCCCCCTGACAGGGTGCCCGAACATCGACTCGGCAGACATCGGCAGAAATCTGCTGCCAAATCGAAATCGACAAGAGTCGGCAAGGCCGAGTCGGATCGATGCGAAAACCAGCTGGACGGACGCCAGATCGGAATCGAGATCGGCAGACACAATCCGCGCGTCCTCTGGTGGGACTCGTTACTGACATCTCTGTCCGTCGAACATTTGAGTGGGGGATCAACTACAGAATTGATTTACCCCGGAATTGATTTTCTCGTCGAGTCATTTGCATAATGTTCGTAGACCTACAAAATTCCACGCATCTCTCATGGATTCGACGAGCAAATCAAATTGGCACACATCAATCATGTAGCCGATCCCCTACTCGAAAAATTGCCGTGAGTCGTCCGACGTCGTCGCAAGCCGTCGCAGTCGTCGTCGTGAATCGTCGCACGTCGTCCGACGCCGTCGGAGCTCGGAGTCCTGCCTGCGAGACCCCGCCCCAGAAAGGGGTTGGCAGACCCACATCAAGGGGGGGGTGTTCGCGGACCCCCCCCCCCAAGGAGGGAAGTTGTGAACCCCTCCGCGGGGAGGGTTTGCAGACCCCCTCGGGGGGAGGTCTGTGGAACCCCGCAGGGGGGAGTGTTCGCGGACCCTCCCGCCGGGCTGGGAGGGGGGGGGTTGTGGACACCCCCCCGCATGGCGGCTTGTGGACCTCCCCCGAGGGGGTGTGTGCGAACCTGCGACCCCCCCCCCAGGGGGCCTGAAAGGGTTCGTGGCCCCCCTGGAAACCCGTAAGTGGGGACGTCGGGAGCCCCTTGGGGACCCCTTCGGAAGGGTTGCCGTCGTCGCCCCTCCCTCCCTCCCCCCCTCCTCCGTCCTCCTCCTCCTCGGGGGGGATCCCTCCGAATCGAGGGCCGAGGCCTGCGGCCAGCCTCGCCTCCCCCGTCGACATCACCGTGGACGACGCCATCGCCGTCGACGTCGCCGCCGGAGGCCGCCGTCGCCATCGTCGACGAGGATCCTCCCTGCTGCCCTGGAGCGAAACTGGATCGGAAGAAGTCGGCAGAAGTCGGTTGAAACATCGAATCTGCGGGAGTCGGATCGGGCGAACTCGAAATCGGAATAGTGAATCGGCATGTTCGCATCGAGTCGGATCGATTCAGATCGGCCCGGAGGAGTCGGAAAGCGCGCTGCTCGACCCCCTAGACCTGGAGGGGTGGGGGTCGCGAGATGTGAGAGGGTGGTGTTGGGCACAAAATGGCTACAAGAAGGCCTCCAAGAGCCCACGATGATACTCAAGATGACCCAAGATAATGAAAGATCGCTCAGGATGTCTTCCGATATGCTTCCAAGAGACCCCAATATCAGTCCAAGACGAGTCCAAGTGGCCTCGTAGCCCCCCAAGGAAGATCTCATCATAGCGAACGCCCCCAAGAGGCTCCCAAGCGGCTCCAAAGGGCCCCAAGAGGCACTAGAGGCACCAAAGACGCCAGAAGAGGCCCGGGGGACCGCCAAGATACCCCCATGATGCCTCCAAGAGACCTCTGACCCTTCTGCTCCTTCTCCTCCTCGTCCTCCTCCTCCTCCTCCTCCTCCTCGTCCTCCTCCTCGTCCTCCTCCTCCTCCTCCTGCTCCGTCTGTTCCTCCTCTCCTCCTCCTCCTCCTCCTCCTCCTCCTCCTCCTCCTCCGTCTATTCCTCCTCCTACTTCTCGCTTCTCCTTCATCCATTCTCCTCCTTCTATCCCTCTCGCTTCTCCTTCATCCATTCCTCGCTATGGCTTCCCAGGCCCTTTACTCCACTGCATGCTCCTCCACATCCCTGATCGGGGCGACCATTTTTGGATAGGCTGGTGGGATGACGCGAAGCGTCTATAATATCAGCGTCCCCTGGGCGAAACCAGCAACGAACCAGACTCCCACCCTTGCAATCAACTGCTCAGTAGCAACATCCCCCGCCCCCGTTCCCCTCGCGCCCCTGTGGGTGTCCCAAAAGGACCCCGCTCGAAAGCCACACACCATCAATCTCTAGACCTCCGCTGAGGTCTATCCTGGCCACTTCGTCGCGTCCGGCAATGGCCAAGAGGGGCCCCCGAAGAAACGGGCAGTGACAGCACCACGAGCAGCCAGACACAGATTAATGCCATAGACACTGGAGGCGCCCTGCGGCACCGCGACGCAATGCCGCAGAGTCGCCTCCCGCTGCACCCGCCAACAAAAACCCCGCTGGCTACCAAGAAAACAACAAGAATAGACGGGCCTGGTGACTCTGGCACGGAACGGGTCACCGCGCACGCACAAGTGCAACCGTTTGGGCTGGCCTGTGGTTTTCAGAGCCTGTCACGAACACAACTGGCGTCCTTTACTGGCGGTCCTGGCGCTCTACCCAACAGAGAACCCAAGAGAGGCAGAAGCGTCAGAATCCACACGGCGAATCAATATCGTGTCAAAGCAAACGTTCGTTCTGGCTTCGCGCGCATCGTTCAATCTTGAGCGATCTCCGCTATCCTGCAGCGCAGATCGCTCAAGGCTCCTGTGGCTCAGGCCGCAAATGGCTTTCAACATTGATCGCCTGCTCTGGTGTCACTGCCGCATCGACGCGGCGCGAATCTGCCGCAGTCATCGCTCGAGTGTTCCTGCGGCAAGCGTAAACGAGACCCTCTCCGCGTGGCACCGCGCATACAAGCAGGGGCGTACCCCAGCAAAAGCAGATGCCGACACCGACGGCGATGACCACGACGGCCGTGGCGACCACGAAGCTCCGCCGACGCCTCCGGAAACGGCGGCGGCGCTCTCGACGGCGGCGACGGCCGGCGACGACCACGACGGCCATCGCGATGGCGACGACGGCGATCAGGGTGACGGCAACGGCGGCGACGGCACGACGGCTGCGAGAGGGCCTCCCCCGCTGGAGGCCGCGGGACCAGGCCCGGTCCAGGCCGTCCTGCAGGCGGTCGCCGTCGGAGGACACGCTGGCGCCTGCGGGGTGTTGCCCGGGCACCCCCGTCGGCGCCCCTTTGCCGTCTCAGACGCTCTGACGATGAAGAAAGCGAGTGCGCAGAAAATCCATAAAAAAGCATGGGGCAATCAATGATGTTCAGCTCTCGGAGGCCTCTTGCAGGCACTCTTGGACCGTCTTGGAGGCGTGTAGGAGGGATATTTGCAGAATGCTGGGCCGTCTAGGGCATGGCTTGGCCATGTTGTCGGTCTCCTGGCGACGCTTGGCCGTCGAACTTGTGACTTCGATTACTCTCGAAGCCGAAATACACCCCCAGAGCTCCGAAAGAAAACCGCACCCCAGGGGGCTAAATGGGGTACCCAGGGGGTGGCTCCATTTGTCATTGTGTGCCGGCAGGGGGCCATGGGGCCCAACACTCCGGCATTGTATACACATAGGTGAGTATATTATATATATGTATGTATGTATATATATATGTGTGTATACACACAGAATGACCTTCGGCCCATCTCGCCTTCGTGCCTGGGTTGTGGGTATGCAGCCTATTGGATGCTTGTTGTGATCTCGTGGCTCCAGCGAGGCCTCTCGGGGGCCTCTTGTAGGCAGCTTGGAGACCTCCTGGGGACCGTTTCGGCGTCTATCGGGGCATCTTTTGGGCCTCTTGGGGACATCCTGTCCTGCCTGGGGCCTCTCGAGGGCCTAATGGGGGCCTCCTGGGCGCCTCTTGGGGCCTCCTGGGGGCCTCTTGGGGCGGAAGGCGTTTTTTTTTGTTTGGTTCGTGTTCCCTCTCTTGGGGCCCATATGGGGCCGTCTTGGGGCCCTCTTGGGCCGTCCTGGGCGCCTCTTGTGCCGTCTTAGGTCGCTCGTAGGCCGTGTTGGGGCGGAGGCCTCTTGGGCCATTTTGGGATGGTTTGGTGGGCCTCTTGGGCCGTGTTGGAGCGTCAGAAAACAGGAAAGGCGAGAACGCCCAAAACCTTTCAAACTAAACGGGAATCCAAGATGTGTGCCTCTTTGGATCCTCTTGGGAGGCTTCTTGGAGGCCCCGTGGGCCATCTTTGAGCACCGTGGGCGTGTTGGAACGACCTTTCGGCGCATCGGGGACCTCCCGGACCGTCTTGGGCGCCTCTTGGAACCCTCTTGGCCTGTCTTCGGGCCTTCTCGGGCCAGAACGATTCACGCGGGGAGACGCGCCGGAGCCCAGGGAGACGCGCCGGAGCCCAGGGAGACGCGCTGGAGCCCAGGGAGCCCAGATGTTCAGGAAATGTTGTGGTCCTGGGCTTTGAAAGACTCCTGAGGACCGAGGGCTGAGGCTCCAGGGATCAGGCACAGGACCTGAGGACACGCCCACTCCGTGCCCAGAGGCACGGTGGCGGATATTCATTCCCCAAGCTTGAGCAGGGACCGACCGTCCCGGCATTCCTATAGTCCTACCACGATATGTTCGTAGAACCCGAAAATGTTCTAAGGACAAAAACAATGTTCTTAGAACATCAACCCGATGTGTTAAAACACGAGAATCTCAACCAGAAATGTTCTAAGAACATGTCGTGGAGACCACAAAAGGTTCTTAGAATCTTGTTTGGTAGGGCTGTAGGCGAGCCAGGACGCTTCGCCATTGCTTGATGTTTGCCGCTTTGGCGGCTATGTCGCCGCCGTCGCCGCCCTGTCTCCGCCTCGTCGCCGGCCCGTCACCGCCAGTCGGCACCCCCTGGCCGCCCGTCGTCTGGGCCTGTCTGCCGCTCCGGCGGATAGGTCGCTACTGTCGCCGCCTCGTCGCCGCCCTTCGTGTAGGCCTGACGGCCGGTCTGGCGGCTACAGTCAACCCGGATAGTAAGGATGCGCGATAAGGGTGCAAGGGCCTTGGACGCCCATTTCGAAGCTTTTCGAGCGGGGCGCGGCCAACGACACTGCCCAAGGATGGGCCTAAGAGCAAGGATGCAAGGGTATGTACCCTTGGGAAGGTTGCCCATCCTTACTATGCGGGTTGGCTGTATGTCGCCGCCCCATCATTCTTCCTGTTCGCGACGCCAAAGTGTCTGGGACGCAAGCCCGGCCTTGGGGGGGGGCTCATCGACGCCACGAAAAGTCGAGAGGAGCGACCTCCCGTTGCTACCGAGCACGGCCTGTGCTGCCAGCGCCCTGCGCCCCGCCGCCCAGTCCATGGCGCGGACTCGTGGGGGACCACCTGAGGCTGACAAGAAATCCAGGGGTGTGCAGGAAAGCTTCGTGCGTCGGCGCAAGTGGACACCTTACGCAATGTCTTTCGCGGGCCACTCACGCGGAACACCACGCGTACGCGCGACCTACACGGGCAGCTTACGCATGAATGTCGCGAAGCCGGCCCAATGTTATCGCGTCACTCAATGGCAGCGCAGAGGGACACTGCTCCCTGCACCACGGCAACACCAGATAATATAATCTGAAGGGCAATGCGGCCCGACCGCGGGCATCGAGCACCACCTGGTCTAAAGAACGTGCTGGTCGTATAAACGCATGCTGGCTGCCCACCTGCGGCCTGGCTGTGGCCCTCACGCCGACGAAACCACCACCAACCCCGAAACATTCCGCCACCTTGGCCGAGCAGGTCTGGCCTGTCTGAAGGGCCCCCAGGACACACAAATAAATACACACAAATAAACATGTTCCGCATAGTTTCTCATATTTTCTGGGTTTCTGTCTTCGCCCCCACTTCCCATATTTTCCCATATTCTCTTCGGAATCGAGAGTTAATTGTGTCTGTGTGTTTCTTTCCCTCCTGAAAATACCGCTGCTCCACGGACCTCTCCGGGGGTGCCATCTGCACAGAATTCCAGTGCAAACCAAGCCGCGGCGACGAGGGCTCTCCAGGTCGGGCCACGGGTCCTGAACAGAATTGCGTGGAGAACCCGGACGTGGCGACGACGGCCCTCCATTAACGGGCGAAGAACGGTATAAAATAAACTTTTTCGCTGTCGGGGGCGCCTGTCCCTGGGCGGCTGGAAAGCTTATACCCTTACGGTGGCACCGTAGGGGTATAAACTTTCCAGCCGCCCAAGGACTGGCGCCCCCGACAGCGAAAAAGTTTATTTTATACCGTTCTTCGCTCGCTGACTCCAGGTCGAGCAGCGGTATCGGCGGTGGCGGTCGCCTTTCACCCTCTGATCCCAGCCAGACGGCCACCGCTGCACCAGCGGTTCTGCCAGGCCGGCGGCCCGCGTTGGGTCAGCCGCAATGCTCCAGACGTGCGCACCGGCGCCAGCCAGCGCGACTGCCGCGGGCTCACACACGACCTCGGCGCCTGCGTACCTCTGAAGGGCGACGATCAGTGGGGAACATCGACCTGAAATAGGCGATGTAGATGCATCACAGATAGATCGGCGATAGGCCCCCGATAGCGAATCCGAGCGTTCCGGGGCGGGGAGGGCCATCGGGCCATCATCGGCGGTGAAAGGGCGATTGGGGGATGATGCGTCCCGCCATGATCCTCGTCGTCTGGCTTTCGGGCCGTCACTTGGGTCGCCCGCGGCCGTTCGGGGCGATCTGGGCATCCCCAAACGTCCCTCAGCGATTCGGAGCTGCCGGGACGCATCCAGAGCCAGGAAAACCTCCAGGAACTGACGAAAACGTCCGGAAACCGTGAACAGATCCCCCCGCGCAAATCCGGACCTCTCCTGGGGTGCGTTCTGAGCAGAATCTCACCAGCCCTTCAGGGCGCGAGCGGTTTAGACTAGAGCGTTTCCTCTTCCAACCCCCCCATCCTCTTCGGGGAGAGGTTCGCCCCTCCCCCATACCCCCCTCCCTTGGGTCTAGAGGGGAGGGGTCGCGACCGATGAGAACGTCCCAGAAGGCCTCGGCAAGAAAGTGGACATCATTACTCCTGATATGGCGGTCGGCCCAGTTTGGCCTAGACGCCAATTTAATCCCCCTTCCATTCTTTCATCGAGCTCCTTCAAGACGGCCCCCCAGGCTCCCAAGAGTACCCCAAGAGGACCCCAAAAGGCGGCCTGGAAGCCCCAAGAGGCCCCGAACAAGTCCCCAAGAGGCCCCCCAAAGAAACCCTAAAGGTCCCAAGAGGCTCCCCGAGAGGTCCCAAGAGCATCACCCAAGAGGCCCCAAGACGTCCCAAGAGACCACGCAGAGGCACCTCATACGCTCCAAGAGGACCCCAAGACATTCTCGAGATACATCCGAAGAGGCCCCCCCAATAAAAAACATCCAAGATGTATTTGACCTTTCTGTTCGCCCTGCTCCTCCTCCTCCTCCTTTTCCTCCTTTTCCTCTTCCTCCTCCTCCTCCTCCTCCCCCTCCTCCTCCTCATCCTCCTCGTCCTCCTCCTCCTCCTCCTCCTCCTCCTCTTCGTTTGTCTCAATCGCCTATTCCTCCGCCTCCGCTTTTGACAGCGACGCGCATGCTCCTGAAAGTTCAAAGTAATGAGCAACATCACTCGGGGAGCACACTGAGAAGGCAAAGGTTCACCTGTAATCTACCACAACGGGACGAATTCATCAATGTCAGGGTGGAAGCCTTGACGGCGACGGCGCCTGTTCTGCACAACGCCACCGTGGGGGGCCGCATTCACGACCCGCGCCTATAACTTGACCGCCGTTGCATCAATGAAACTGGTTTGGCATTCGCAAAAAGAGGTGGGACGTGTCAGAGCACAGCGAGCCCCACTGCTCTCAAGCGTGGGCGAAATCCAGAGAGCAGGCGGCACGAGAGACTGGGACGCTGGGAATGGCTCGAATCCTCGAGATCCCAGCTCTGGCCATGTGGCAAACGCTCCGCTCTTTCCAACGGACGCCGCAATCTAGCTCAGTAGAAGACACCACAAGGTGCAAGGCTGCACCTTCCTCAACATACGTGTCAACGAAAAAGTGCGACAAGGGAGCTTCTCCCGCGAGGACTTTCGAAAAGGTGACGCGCATGAATTATATGACCGCCATGATTCACCCAGTACATTACATGAGAACAATCAGAGCAACAGCTGGCTGGGCCGTCGGTGCACAAGGCCGCCCAGGCCAAGGCCGAAAACTCGGACACTTGAGGAGCACCAGGCCACGAGGTCCAGAACAAAACATTTAACAACCCCGAGGCGCTCCCTGAACGACGTAACCATAGCAACCGCCCCCTCAGCCCTGGAAAACCCCCGAACCACACGTCACCGGCATGATCCATCCGTACAAATTCCCCCCCACCACACAGCAAAAGCCTTCTGATGAAGGAATGGAAAGGGTGGCAGCAGCATCGGCAAGGCCAAAAAGAGCATCAATGAATCAGTCCAGGGCCACACCTCCATCCGTGAGCGGGGCAGGTGCGCAATCTCCAGGGTGGCGGAGCACGCAGTGCAAATAAACGGCCGTGCCAGCATGGTTCTCACCAAGCTCAGTCGCTTGATCCTGAAGGCTTTTGGCCAGCACCGCACATCTTTCAGCCAGGGCGCAGGGGCAGACGCACGGGCGATGGAACAGAATGCCGCGAGCCATGCCGCACAGAGCGCACTTTTTCCAAATTCGTGGCCGGCGGCGGCGACGTCACAAGCCGCCCAGCAGGCCTTGGCGGCCTGTGCTCTTGACGGCCTGTGCTCGAGCCCGCCGTTTGGTTTTGCCCGAAGCCTCCTTGGGGCCAAGAGCTGTTTGACCACGCTCAAACATAAAACGAACGCCACGCCCGTACTTGTCCGTCGAGTCCCTCCCATGGCACCTGACAGCGCGCTTCCCCGAAGTAGAGCTTGACATGACCAGGGGGGGGGGCTAAGCGCGACGGAGAGCTCTCGTCCGAAGTCGCCGATGATAATACAACCAGTTCGGCATGTGCGGCGACATGCGCAAGCCAGAAATCGGTCCCGAGAACGTCGCCCAGGACTGCTCATCCGCAAAGAAGCCGCATGATATGAAGGGGCCCTGGGACACACAAATAAGTACACACACAAATAACAGGACTCCCCATCTTTTCTTATATTTCCCAACCATCCTGTGGTGTTGGGTCCTCGTTTTGAAGAGACAGCGCCCGCGTTCACTCCTCCTCCCGCTGCCCCCTCCCTCCTGCCATCATCATCATCATCACCATCATCATCGTCATCATCATCATCATCATCATCGTCATCATCATCATTATCATCATCATTATCATCATCATTCCTCTCCTCTCCTCTCCTCTCCTCTTCTCCTCTCCTCTTCACCCACCCAGTACACTGTTTCGTGGCTCCATAGGGAGCTCCACCGAAGGCCCCAGTGCCCGCGCCCGCATGCGTCACCCACACCCATTTCGGCACACCCCTCACACGTTTCGTGGCTCCATAGGGAGCTCCACCGAAGGCCCCAGTGCCCGCGCCCGCATGCGTCACCCACACCCATTTCGGCACACCCCTCACACGTTTTCGTGGCCCCATAAGGAGCTCCACCGGGGCCCCAGTGCCCGCCGCCCGCATGCGTCACCCACACCCAATTTCGGCACACCCCACACGCTTCGTGACGGGCTTCGTGGCTCCATAGGGAGCTCCACCGAAGGCCCCAGTGCCCGCGCCCGCATGCGTCACCCACACCCATTTCGGCACACCCCTCACACGTTTCGTGGCTCCATAGGGAGCTCCACCGAAGGCCCCAGTGCCCGCGGCCGCATGCGTCACCCACACCCATTTCGGCACACCCCTCACACGTTTCGTGGCTCCATAGGGAGCTCCACCGAAGGCCCCAGTGCCCGCGGCCGCATGCGTCACCCACACCCATTTCGGCACACCCCTCACACGTTTCGTGGCTCCATAGGGAGCTCCACCGAAGGCCCCAGTGCCCGCGGCCGCATGCGTCACCCACACCCATTTCGGCACACCCCTCACACGTTTCGTGGCTCCATAGGGAGCTCCACCGAAGGCCCCAGTGCCCGCGCCCGCATGCGTCACCCACACCCATTTCGGCACACCCCTCACACGTTTCGTGGCTCCATAGGGAGCTCCACCGAAGGCCCCAGTGCCCGCGCCCGCATGCGTCACCCACACCCATTTCGGCACACCCCTCACACGTTTCGTGGCCCCATAGGGAGCTCCACCGAAGGCCCCAGTGGCGGCGCTCACATGCGCATGCGTCCCGCACACCCATTTCGGCACATCCCTGACAGGTTTCGTGGCCCCATCATCCACCGGAGGCCCAGTGGCGGCGCTCACATGCGTCACCCACACCCACCCAATTCGGCACACCCCTCACACGTTTCGTGGCCCCATAGGGAGCTCCACCGAAGGCCCCAGCGGCCGCGCTCACATGCGTCCCCGCCACCCATCCCGGCACGCCCCTCACAACAACAGGTTTCGTGGCCCCATGGGAGCTCCTCCGAAGGCCCCAGTGGCACCGCCCGCACGCGTCACCACCCGCACCCAATTCGGCACACCCCTCACACGTTTCGTGGCCCCATAGGGAGCTGCACCGAAGGCCCCAGTGGCGGCGCTCACATGCGTCCCCGCCACACATCCCAGTACACCCCTCACGCGCTTCGTGGCCCCATAGGGAGCTCCACCGAAGGCCCCAGTAGCGGCGCTCACATGCGTCTCCGCCACCCATCCCGCCCCCCCCCCCCCCGCAGCAGCATCATGTTTCGGGGACCCATAGGGAGCTCCACTGGAGGCCCCAATGGCGGCCCGCACATGCGCTTCCGCCACCCCTGTCGGCACGCCCCGCGCGTGTTTCATGTCCCCATAGGGAGCTTCGCCAAATGCCCCAGTGGCACCCATCTCGGCACACCCCTCACACGTTCCGTAATCCTACGGGGAGTTCCATTGAAGATGAAACCCGCAGCTGCGGTACTGACAACTGCATATGGTTGGGTTCTTCGCCAGGCTAATTTCTGGGTTTCTGTCTTCCCCCCCTCTGCCCATATTTGCACATTTTTTTGGGGGGGAATCGACGATGAATTGTGTCTATGTGTTTCTCCCCCTCCTGATTATAACCTTCACGCACCTCAATCCAACTGAGGAGCCACTGGGGGAGCCCGTGCACGCGGGACCCAGGCCTCCTCGGCCCATCTGATGATGGGCACGCAGCATCCACGCCACGCCGGACCACCCGGGAGAATGCGCAAGCCCGAGAGAGACCCACCCTGCCCTGGGCTTCGCTGTGGACATGGCCATCCCACGCAGGTCGACAAACTCGCGGTCCGAAATACCGCGCAGATCGGAATCGTGCGCGGCTCCAGCCAGAGGGCCCGAGGCAAAACTATGAAAGCTGTTCATGCCCGGTGCTACAGAAAGCCCTCTCAACTGCGTGGGTCCTCGCAGAGCAGCAGCACTGTTGGCTTTCATCTTAGAAGACCTACTGTACCTC